CAAAAAAAAAAAAAAAAAAAAAAAAGAAAAGGAAAAAACCGAGCTTGTTTGGAAATAGATGGCTAAAAATACACATTTGCATTACTCCAATAGTTTTGGATGCAGACTGAGGATATCAACAACTGCAAGGACTAGTCTCAATTTAGGATATCAACGGCATGGTAGTCTTACTTTATTAAACTCTTTTTTGGAAAATATGAAAAAAAACCCACGTTTTATCTTCTTGCTCTGTTACCTTGCCATAATGCTAAATATAATTATGTTATCAGTGAATACGGTCATAAATTTGTGATCTGTCATGCAGCTTGCATTCTAAGTTATAAAGTGGATAATAAATAAACTAAAGAAATAAATTAAAACCAAGCATGGTGACATGTGCCTACAATCTCTCTCTACTCAGGAAGCTGAGGCAGGAGGTTGCTCAGAAGTTTGAGAACTGCCTAGGCAATGTAGTGAGACTCCCATTTCAAAAAAAAAAAAAAAAGAAGAAATTACATAGAATGTTAAATAGTGCTAAGTGCCAAATTAAAAAAAAAAATAAAGCAGGAAGGAGTTTAGGAAGTGTGTGTATTATGGGATAAAAGGTGTTTAAATGTTAGGTTGGCCAAAGAAAGCCCATTATTCAAATCACACAGAGAGAAAAGTAAGAAATTCATACCATTGCTTATTGTAAGCACAAGATATTTCTGCCAGATTGGCTGTTATTCTGGATGTGTGTCTAGAAACTCCTAGGTAGAAAAATAAAACTTCCAAAAAGCTTAAATAAGAATTAACTCTATTTAATTGGGGACATAATATTGCATAATATGTTTTCTTTAGAAATCAGCTATCTTAATTTTATTTTTAGGAGAGGTAATTATAAATTGAGAAAGAAAATGAATGATTTAGCTTTTGATCCTTAGGGTACTGCATTCTCCCTTACTGGATGACTTGGGGACTATTTAGTGTATTTTGACTGTACAGATCCCTTGCTATGCACAAGAAGATCCACTGAGTGTCTCATTTCCTGTTATCCTAGCAGCAATCTGAACGTGGGAAAGAATTGACCTCAGTGTAATTTCTGTGGCATAGTTTCCCCCATGGCTTGTTAGACAAAGTAGACAACGAAGTAGGCAACATTCAGACTGTAAGATGCTTCAACTGCACATTATGTACAGGAGAGTTTATGACCAGCTTTTCTGAAGGTCAGCCTTAGGAAAAGAAGAAGTGCTAAAATAAATTATGGTCACACTGCTGAAAATGTGACCATAGCAGTAAGGCCAAGTAATAGAAGTCCAGATGCTGTGGTTGGCTTTCATTCAAATCCTGAATTGTCTACTTACTCATGGTGGGAATAGGCGCAAGTTCTTTAACCCTCTGTGTGCCTCAATTTCCTCATCTGTAAAATGAAAATAACAGCAGTACAAACATAGGGTTGATGTGAGGAAAATATTTGTCACTGGAGTCCTTGAAGCAGAGGAAGGGGGAATTGCAAAAAAAGTGTATGAAGAAATAATGGCTGAAAGTTTTGCAAATTTGATGAAAAGTATAAACCCACAGATCTAAAAAGCTCAACGAAATTCAAGACAAGAATGATGATGAAAACCACATCAAGGTACATCATAATAGGAAAAAAACTGCCAAAAATACACAGGTAGTTCTCAAACAGGGATGACTCCTCCCCACCTCATTCCCTGGGAGACTTTTTAGCAATGTCTGGAGATGTTTATGTTCATCATAACTGGGGGAGGGATGGGCTGTGCTACTGGCATCTAGCAGGTAGAGGTCACGAATGCTGCTACACATCAGAAGAGCTGAGCACCAAGAAGTAAAGGTGCTGGGATGAGCACAACTACTTGGAGGGGTTTTTAGAACTCAAAGGTCAATGTGACTTTTAAAAAACATTCTTTAAATGGCTGAATCAAGGGAGATCTACAACAAGCCAAATATTTTGAAAGTTCTGCTCTCTGGGCTTCTCACACTTAGACAAAGACACAAAGGTTGGAAGACTAAGCAAATGGATACAAGCTAAAATCTCATTTCAACTCAACAGTCATTTACTAGGACTACTTCCAAAGTACAGTATCAATGTAGAGCTCATAGTTGGTCTCTTTGTATAACGTAGTATTCTTTTTTTTTTTTTTGGGACAGAGCCTCAAGCTGTCCCCCTGGGTAGAGTGCCGTGGCATTACAGCTCACAGCAACCTCCAACTCCTGGGCTTAAGTGAGTCTCCTGCCTCCGCCTCCCAAGTAGCTGGGACCACAGGCGCCCGCCACAACGCCCGGCTATTTTTTGGTTGCAGCCGTCATTGTTGTTTGGCGGGTCTGGGCTGGGGATTCGAACCCGCCAGCTTAGGTGTACGTGGCTGGCGCCTTAGCAGGGTGAGCTATAGGCGCCGAGCCATAATGTAGTATTCTTTCTGCCATATGCTTAATATAAACTCTGTCCAAAGTCACAATATAATTTTTAAAATCCCAACAAATTCTGGCCATTTTTTAAAAGATTATGCCATATTTTTATGTATTGGGCTTTTAAAAAAAAGACTATGGATCTCTTAAAAGCAGACATGAAATAACATGTTGTGCCAGGATATCAAGAATAAAAACCAAGACAGTTTTCATACTTATTAAATAAGAGGCACTAAACTAGGTATTTTGTATTTGTAATCTCATAATCCTCAGCAAATCATTTGGGTTTGATATTTTTTCCATGTCTATTTTACAGACAAAATAGAAGAACAAACTCATTGACTTGGCACCCCCAAAAGCTAAGAAGCAGTGGGACTAGATTTGAACTACAATCTGTTTTAAAACACACGCTCTATCCAAAATAAAAATTATAACAATACATACTTATACATGTGCTTTTTATTTTGGTTGCTGATTTGGATTTTGATACAACTTAATGTATATTCTCAAAACAAACAAACAAACAAAAAAACCCAAAACCAATGTGTATTTTCGTTGCTAGAGGACTGGTCTACCACACGAATTTTTTTCTTTTTTTAAGAGACAGAGTCTCACACTGTTATCCAAGCTGGAGAGCAGAGGTATGATCAAAACTCACTACAACCTTGAACGCCCAGGCCCCAGTGACCCGCTCACCTTATCCTCTGGAACAAATGGGACTATAGGTGTACATCACCATGCCCAGCTAATTTCTTAATTTTTTGTAGAGTTGGGGTCTCACTATGCTGCCTAGGCTGATTTCAAACTCCTAGGCTCAAGTGATCCTCCTACCTTAGCTTCCCAAAGTGCTGAGATTATAGGCATGAGCCACCATGCCCAGCCCACCTCATGAATTTACTCAGACACTCAGGTGCCCCAAAGCGAGCTATTCTTTCACAGAAGGAATAAGAAATCAAAGTGGCCACAGTCATGGCAGGACTTGCGTATGCCATTTGCTAAAAACTGTCTTACAAGACAGTTTTATTTTTACAGATGACTGGCCTGGAACAGGGAAAAAAGAGATGGTCATTCTTCTTTGATATGTTCCAGACAAAAAAACCCTGAGAATCATTTCTTTAAAGCATGCACATTTCGACTCTTTGGTTCACTTTAGGCAGATTTTAACAGACTATACACAGAGAGCTAGGAACATACATTTTGTTTAGTTTTTCTGAATGGTTAAAAAAAAGTCACACTGAAAGGAAATTAAATTTAAAGACAGAGTAGCATACTAATTAACAAAGCTGTTCAGCTTTAAAAACTCAGAAAATCATCAGTGCTCTAAAGGAGTCAAAATTGAGTTTTATGTCTCTAGAAGCATTCCAAGATTAAAAAGAAGAACAACATATTTAGCAAAACTGAGCCAGTTTTCTTTAGTTTAGGGAATGATAGATTAAAATGTGTTTTACTGGAAAAGTAGTAATGCTAATGAAGGCTATAGGACAGGCAATACATAATTCATCTTGATGGAACACAGAGTGTTAAACAGTTAAAGGTAAATTCCAAAGTTATTTTTTAAAACTTTACCATAATACTTTAGTTTTTTCTCCTTCTTTCTTAGGTGGTTCTATACACGAGTTAAAGAAAATTTGAAACAAATCTTACATAACATATAATTCCTTAACTTTGGCAACATGTTTTGTTCTCCCTTCTGATTGAAACTCTGCTTATAGTCATGGATGTTCCCTACAAATGAATGAAAGAGAAAGTCTGTACTTACTGGAAAGAACAGTGGTAAGGAAAATGTAGTCTGAAAAGGATATGAGTCCACATTCTCCAAGGGTGTAAAATATACTGTCTTCATCAGCAAATTTTTCTCGTTCCTGGGAAATTTTCTATTAAACATGTGGGTTGCACCAAAAGATGAAAAAAAAATATTAACTGAATTAGAACACAAGTAGTAAGAGATGAATCACCATTCATCTGACAATTTTATGCTATTTATCATAAACATTTCTCTGATGGCTATTCAAAATCAATGGATCCTTTACAGATTCTAAGATGATAAAATTTCAAGAAAAAAATAATTTTTTCATTTCAACACTGGTTTAGTATGAACATTAGAAAATAATTTTGATTTTGTAACCTCCCATATCGTATGTATGACACAGGTCCACTTCAAATTTTGGGTTTGCCTATTAGTTTTAAAAACAATCCACCTTCTTCTATAGAGGTACATAAAGTAGTAAAAAACAAAACAAAACAAACAAAAGAAAAAACTAAGAGGAAATCAGTTCTAATTGCCTAAGAAAACTATACTACCCGTGCAGAAATGAAGAGGTGAGCAATTATTTCCAAGGCTCATATAAATATTAATTTTAGTTTTCCCTTATGAAGTCAAGAATCTTAGTTTTGGAATATAGCATGGTATGTAGACTAAATAAGTACCTCAGAAATATAATACTGAATCAGACATGCACACCAGGCTTTCTACACAATTTAATTTAAATCACATCTACTATTAACCTTCGTGGAAGATTCTAAATTTCAGCTATTTGATGAAACTATCTCCTAAAACTTAGCTTTTACTCTAAATACATATTTCTTTTCTTTATCTTAAATTTCATAAAGTTAATTCTTGGCTTTATTAATGGCCTGTCGTCTGGCAACTGGTCTCTTTCTGGATGTTTAAGCAAACCTCTCCTGTTTTCTGAATTCCTAGCCAAAGCATAAACTTTGTGGTAATACTGAAGATATTTTCAAACTGAAAAGGATCCACTGAAGAGTTAGACTTGAAACTAATTTCCATAAATTCTGGGACACCAAAAATATTTAAAAGTACATATTTTTTAAAAAAAAGTAAAAGAAATACGCAGTTTTAAGAACCCAAACCAACAAAGCACAACCAAAGTAATAATATCATGCAAGCACAAAAGACAAGGCAGCACTGCAGGCATAACTTTGGTAGGAGTATCATGAAAATTAAACCAACAAGCACCACTACAGCATCCAGGTACACAACTATTCACTTGGTTACCTCTGTCTAGTGGAGATCCCATTACACACCACAAAGGAAAGAAAAGTGGTTAACCAACTGAAAACACAGGTCCCACATGAATCATCAAGAAGTCAGTTTGCATGATTTTCTTAGTAATCTCATTCAAAATAGCTTCTACTGGATATTTGCTTGTTCTTAAGAAAAGGTAATGACAGACAGGTAAAACTCCATAGTTGAATGTCAACACAGCAGTATTAGGTTTTGATGGCAGCTACTTAAAAGGGCTTCTCTGACTTCAGTTGTTACTGACGGAAGCCATGGTCCTGCCTGACGGCATTCAGAGATTACTTCTTTGAGCTGACAGCAAAAATGAGCACACAGTACTTAAGGTTAGATTTCATGCCACTCTTGATCTTCTACTAAGAGATTAAATATTAATTTCAGAAAGAATGAGAATTAGAGCAGCAAAGCCTTTCACCGGGAAGCTAATATTTAAATTTCTCAAAATAAAAAGAAACAAATAGTTACAATTTTTGCATCATCCAAGATACTGCAAAAGTAAAGTATGGAAATAGGAATAAATATGCAAAATAAGAATAGATCCCTAAAGAGAGACCATTATCAGTCAGAAGAATGAATGTGTAGAGAACCCAAATACTTAATAATGTCATAATCTTGTGGGGAAATTGGTACAAGCAATTAAAACAAGTAATATCATGGTGGCCAGAAATTGAGAAACAGACAAAAGTGTAAGGCAGGGGTCCTCAAACTTTTTAAACAGGGGGCCAGTTCACTGTCCTCAGACTTTTGGAAGGCTGGACGAGTCGGCTACTAAAGAGGACAGGCAGCAGCAGCAAAAACACCTGGCGGGCCGGATAAATGTCCTAGGCAGGCTGCATGTGGCCTGCAGGTCGTAGTTTGAGAACACCTGGTGTAAGGATAGGGTAAAATCAAGTAGCTAAGCCAAGAAGCATACCTAACATTTTTCTAACAATTTACCTGTGCCACACTGGTGTTCAGAATATAATACAAAGATGAATCTAATTTTGTCAGTAACTTTTAATTTTTAGATAACTTCAAACTCACAGAAAGGTTTCAAGATTAATATACGAAAACTACTGTATATTTTTATACAGATGCACCGACAGTTTTCATAGTACCCTGTTTGCTTTATATATTTTTTGTGTACCACTTTGAAAATAAGTTGGAGGCATTATGCCTCTTTACACTTAAATACTTCAGCACAGATTTCCTATGAACAAAGACATTTCCTAACACATTACAGTATAAATTTAATAAAACCAGGGAGTATCAATACATATGCCATTAATATTATCTAACCCAGTCCATTTTTAAATATAGTTAACACTTCCAATAATGTCCTTGTTAGCATATTTCCCTAGTGAAGGACATAATTCATTTAGTTGTCAGGTCTCTTCAGTCTCTATTAACTTAGAATAGTCTTTCTTGGTTCTTTGTTTTTTCCTTTGGAGGATTATTTTTGATTGTGGTAAATAATTTTAGGTGTCAATATAATTGGATTAGGAATACCTAGAAACCTGGTGAAATATCATTCTGAGTGTGTTTCTTATGGTATTTCCATGGAAATTAGTGTGATGCTAAATGGGGTACCCTTCACTCTGCGGGGGGCCTAGAGAGAACAAATGCAGAAGGTGAATGTTCTTTCTGAGTTAGAACAGACTTGCCTTCTACCTTAAACATCAGAAATTTGACTCCATGAAACTGCATTATCACAGCAATTGTGCATGTATGTAAAAATGTTGAAACTTTCTCAGTAAATGAGGGAATACCCTTTTTGTACCTCTGCGTTTGTAAAATTTCTCTAGATCTCAGCTCTTTGGGTGACTGCATACGCAAGATTTTTGATTGATTTTGTCAAAAGACTTAGGCTGTTCATCATGGTATTTCAGATGACTTCAGTTATAAAGCTGGGTGCACACAATTACCAACTATAGTGATATGTGTTTATACATTTCCCCCCCTTTTTTTGAGACAGAGCCTCACTCTGACATCCGGGGTAGTGCCTGTGGCTCAGTGGGTAGGGCGCCAACCCCATATACTGAGAGGGTGGCAGGTTTGACTCCGGCCCCAGCCAAACTGCAACAAAAAAATAGCTGGGCATTGTGGCGGGCACCTGTAGTCCCAGCTACTTGGGAGGCTGAGGCAAGAGAATTGCTTAAGCCCAGGAATTGGAGGTTGCTGTGAGCTGTGATGCCACAGCACTCTACCCTGGACAATAAAGTGAGACTCTGTCTCTAAAAAAACCAAAAAACCCCCCCAAAAACAAATATATCAACTAGAGTTCAATTATTTGTTATCTCTTTAAGTAAAATCTGCATGTGGTAAAATGTATAAATCTAATGTACAATTCAATGAATTCTGAAATACAAATATCTAGTTACCTACATCTTTATCAAGATACAGAACCTTTTCATTACTCCTGAAAGTTCTTTTATGCCTCACTGTAGTTAATTCCCACCATAATTTTTTCACCACAGATTAGTTTTGCCTGTTCTAGAATGTTATATAAATGGTCTTGAATTTGAACTCGGGCCTCAAGCAATCTTCCCACCTCCGCCTCCCAAAGTGCTGGGATTACAGGCATGAACCATCATGCCCCACCTAAATGGTATCAACAGTATATACTTTGGTGTTCTGCTTCTTTAGTTTAGCACAATGTGGAGGAGCTTCACCCACAATGTAAGTGGTTCATTTTTAGTACTGAGTAGTATTTTATACTGCTCATTAATAAAATATTACATAATAATAAATGTATTACTTGTAAAAATTTGTGTATAATAATATTCTTATAATGATAACACACACAAATAATGTGATTTATTCATTCCTTATTGCTAAACACTTAGGGTCTTTTCAGTCTTTGACTATTAGGCTTTTCTTGAAAGGTGTATCTTTTTATTGCACTATCAATGGATATAAGCTCTAGGTGCTCTACATTATTGCCAACCTTTATGCTGCCAGTCTCTTTAGATTTAGCCACTCAAGTGGATACATAGTAGTATTTCATTGCAGTTTTACTGTACATTTCCCCAGTGACCAATGTGTTAAATATTTTTAATTTTGTATATTGGTGATTATATGTCTTTCTTTGGGAAGTACCTAATCAAGACTTGCCCCACCCTTTTTACTTTGGCCCATTTTTAATTAGGTTATTTTGTTATTACTGATTTGTAGTAGCTCATCATGTGTTCTGCATATGAGACCTTTGTCAGTGCGGTAGCCAGGCTCTAAGATGATCACAATGATTCTTGCCTCCAGATACTAACAACCTTATATAGTCTCCTCTCACAAAGAACCCAGGTTAGTCTGTAAGATGAACAGAATAGAGATATGAGTGATGATGTATGACTTTTGAGGGTTGGTCATAAAAGGCATCTTGCTCTATTAGGAGAAGCCATCTGCCATTTGAATAGAATACCCAAGCAGGCCTGTGGAGAGGGATACATGAAGAGGATCTGAGGATTAAAGTCTCAACCAATAGTCAGTATTATTTTACCAGACATTTGAGTGAGCCACCTTGGAAATGAATTCTCATCCCGCCAACATGTGACTGCAATCTCATGAAAGGGACTGAGCCAGAACCATCCAGCCAAATTATCCCTAAATTCCTGATTCATAAAGCACATGTTACTGTTTTAAGATACGAAAATTTACTTTGTTACCCAGCAACAGACAACAAATATAGCCAAATATGTATTAAAAACAATTCTGCCAGAATAAGGCTTGTAATTTTTATTTTTTTGAGAGAGAGAGTCTCACTTTATCACCCTTGGTAGAGTGCTGTGGCATTACAGCTCATAGCAACCTCAAACTCTTTTTTTTTTTTTTTTTGAGACAGAGCCTCAAGCTGTCCCC